CCACAGCTACACGCTGGAGTGTAACTACAACACGTGGTCTCTACAGCTACACACTGGAGTGTAACTACAACACGTGGTCTCTACAGCTACACACTGGAGTGTAACTACAACACGTGGTCTCTACAGCTACACACTGGAGTGTAACTACAACACGTGCTCTCTCCCCACAGCTACACGCTGGAGTGTAACTACAACACGTGGTCTCTCCCTACAGCTACACGCTGGAGTGTAACTACAACACGTGGTCTCTCCCCACAGCTACACGCTGGAGTGTAACTACAACACGTGGTCTCTCCCCTACAGCTACACGCTGGAGTGTAACTACAACACGTGGTCTCTACAGCTACACGCTGGAGTGTAACTACAACACGTGGTCTCTCCCTACACAGCTACACGCTGGAGTGTAACTACAACACGTGGTCTCTCTACAGCTACACGCTGGAGTGTAACTACAACACGTGGTCTCTCCCCACAGCTACACGCTGGAGTGTAACTACAACACGTGGTCTCTCCACACAGCTACACGCTGGAGTGTAACTACAACACGTGGTCTCTCCCTACAGCTACACACTGGAGTGTAACTACAACACGTGGTCTCTACAGCTACACGCTGGAGTGTAACTACAACACGTGGTCTCTCCCCACAGCTACACGCTGGAGTGTAACTACAACACGTGGTCTCTCCCTACAGCTACACGCTGGAGTGTAACTACAACACGTGGTCTCTCCCTACACAGCTACACGCTGGAGTGTAACTACAACACGTGGTCTCTACAGCTACACGCTGGAGTGTAACTACAACACGTGGTCTCTCTTACACAGCTACACTGCTGGAGTGTAACTACAACACGTGGTCTCTATGCAGCTACACGCTGGAGTGTAACTACAACACGTGGTCTCTACAGCTACACGCTGGAGTGTAACTACAACACGTGGTCTCTACAGCTACACACTGGAGTGTAACTACAACACGTGGTCTCTACAGCTACACGCTGGAGTGTAACTACAACACGTGGTCTCTCCCTACAGCTACACGCTGGAGTGTAACTACAACACGTGGTCTCTCCCTACAGCTACACGCTGGAGTGTAACTACAACACGTGGTCTCTCCCCACAGCTACACGCTGGAGTGTAACTACAACACGTGGTCTCTCCCTACAGCTACACGCTGGAGTGTAACTACAACACGTGGTCTCTCCCTACAGCTACACGCTGGAGTGTAACTACAACACGTGGTCTCTACCCACAGCTACACGCTGGAGTGTAACTACAACACGTGGTCTCTCCCTACAGCTACACGCTGGAGTGTAACTACAACACGTGGTCTCTCCGCACAGCTACACGCTGGAGTGTAACTACAACACGTGGTCTCTCCCTACAGCTACACACTGGAGTGTAACTACAACACGTGGTCTCTCCCCACAGCTACACGCTGGAGTGTAACTACAACACGTGGTCTCTCCGCACAGCTACATGCTGGAGTGTAACTACAACACGTGGTCTCTCCCTACAGCTACACACTGGAGTGTAACTACAACACGTGGTCTCTCCCCACAGCTACACGCTGGAGTGTAACTACAACACGTGGTCTCTCCCCACAGCTACACGCTGGAGTGTAACTACAACACGTGGTCTCTCCTACAGCTACACGCTGGAGTGTAACTACAACACGTGGTCTCTCCCTACACAGCTACACGCTGGAGTGTAACTACAACACGTGGTCTCTACAGCTACACGCTGGAGTGTAACTACAACACGTGGTCTCTACAGCTACATGCTGGAGTGTAACTACAACACGTGGTCTCTATGCAGCTACACGCTGGAGTGTAACTACAACACGTGGTCTCTACAGCTACACGCTGGAGTGTAACTACAACACGTGGTCTCTACAGCTACACACTGGAGTGTAACTACAACACGTGGTCTTTCTACACAGCTACACACTGGAGTGTAACTACAACACGTGGTCTCTCCCTACAGCTACACGCTGGAGTGTAACTACAACACGTGGTCTCTCCCTACAGCTACACTCTGGAGTGTAACTACAACACGTGGTCTCTCCCCACAGCTACACGCTGGAGTGTAACTACAACACGTGGTCTCTACAGCTACACGCTGGAGTGTAACTACAACACGTGGTCTCTCCCTACAGCTACACGCTGGAGTGTAACTACAACACGTGGTCTCTACCCACAGCTACACGCTGGAGTGTAACTACAACACGTGGTCTCTCCCTACAGCTACACGCTGGAGTGTAACTACAACACGTGGTCTCTCCGCACAGCTACACGCTGGAGTGTAACTACAACACGTGGTCTCTCCCTACAGCTACACACTGGAGTGTAACTACAACACGTGGTCTCTCCCCACAGCTACACGCTGGAGTGTAACTACAACACGTGGTCTCTCCGCACAGCTACATGCTGGAGTGTAACTACAACACGTGGTCTCTCCCTACAGCTACACACTGGAGTGTAACTACAACACGTGGTCTCTCCCCACAGCTACACGCTGGAGTGTAACTACAACACGGGGCGTAAGGTGGGGGTGCTGGCTCCGGTGGTGGGCGATGGGGGGCGAGCTACCCCCCCCGCCCACTCGCCCACGGAGGGTGGGGGGCCATCGGCACCCCCCCACTACACGCCGAGCATCTACGAGCAGGTGAGGGGAGCGAGGGATGCTGGCCACTCGTCATTCGCTCACTCTCTCACGCTCTCTCACACTCTTACACACTCTTACACACACACACACACTCTTACACACACGCTCTCACACTCTTACACACACACACACTCTTACACACTCTTACACACTCACTCTCACACTCTTACACACTCTTACACACACACACACACTCTTACACACACTCTTACACACTCTTACACACACTCTCACACTCTTACACACACACACACTCGCTCACACTCTCACACTCTTACACACACTCTTACACTGCCACTCTCAAACAACTCACACACATTCTCACATACTGGCTGGGCATGCGGGCTACATGGCCCAGCCATCGCAGCCTTGCCCGCCGGAGGAGCTCACCGATGGGACCTTGCCCAGATCTTTCAAGGATTTGTGAGCTCTTCACACAATCCAGTCTGGTTAAACCCAGGATGGATCGTAGGCAGGCCAGCCTAAATGTTTCTAACCGGCGAAGATGTTCCATTAGGGGGGGGGTCCACGTTTCGCAAGCGTAGAGAAGGGAGGGAATGACCGTGGCAGAGAAGACCTGAAGCTTAGTGCGGAGCGACAGACCAGGTAGCTTCCACACAGCGTCACGCAACCGATGAAAATATATTTCTGCTCGACTGATTTGGAGTGAGACCTCTGCTGTTAAACTGGAGCACACTGCCCAGGTATGGGAAACTCTCCACTCTCTCCACAACTGCCCCATCACCGATTGGGAGTTGTGGGGGTGGAGTGTCCGATGGTACAAAATACCCAGGCAGGTGCTTAGTTTTGGTGGGGCTGATGGTAAGGCCCCACCTCTTAGTGGCACGCTCCAGTCTCAGCAGCAGCGTCTCCAACTCCTCCTCTGACTGAGCAGCTATTACCAGATCATCGGCATACATAACGTGGTTGAGCAATAGGGAGCCATCCCTTGACCGCACCCGGGCATCGATCAGCCTCCCGTTATATCTGTGCCAGGTGGAAATTCCTCCGGTAAAGCCATCGAAGGCTTCTTAAAGAGGGGGACCACCAGGGCATCCTTCCAATCCTGCGGAACCCGTCCAGTGGTCCAGACTGTTATGATGTCATGTAGGGCAGTCTGTGCACAAACGCCACCCTCCCTCAGCATTTCACTTGGGAGATCATCTCTGCCCGCTACCTTTCCTGGTCTCAGACTCTGGATCGCCTTCAGTACTTCCTCAACAGATGGCACCTCAGCCAGCCACTCACAGGGGGTGACTTCGTCCAATATTTGAGGCACCGCAGCCTCAGCAGGGTCATCCTCACTTTGTGCCACGATGTTTTCCTGGCTGAGGGATCCCCTCCCCCAGGACCTCACAGAAATGCTCAGCAAATCTGCAAACCTGTTCCTGGGGGGTCGGAGATTGGATCACCGTTCTTTCCCCTAATGATGGTGATGGGTGTGGCGCTGCAGGTTACTTTTTGTGATGGAGTTAAAGAGCGATTTGTGATCTGTAAGATGCGCCTGCCATTCTTCCACTCCGGTGGTGGGTGTACACCCAAGGACCCCATTCAAACCCATAGTGGCCTGGTCTCAGCTAGCTGCTGATGAAAGTTACAAGCGAGAATTTCATCATCGCTTGCGGCTGGGGTTGGCATCGTCCCCGACTCCTCCTGGTGTCGAGGGTAAATGGGCGAGGTTTAGGACTGTGACTCATGCAGCTGCAATGGCTGCTTTGGGTACGCGGTCCAGACCTCCCCAGAGACCCTGGCTGACAGAGAAGGTGTTCAGGATGGTTGAGAAAAAGCGACAGGCCCACTGTCATCGGCTACAGAATCCCACGTCAGAGAATGAGGAGGCTTACCGCAGCCTTCGCTCGGAGGTTCGGAGAGCCGTGAGGCGCTGCAAGGATGGGTGGTGGTCACGCTCACTCACTCTCACACTCATTCACTCACACACTCACTCTCACACTCACTCACACACTCACTCACTCTCACACTCACTCTCACACTCCCACACTCTCACACTCACTCTCACACTCTCACACTCACTCACTCTCACACTCTCACACTCACTCACTCTCACACTCACTCACACACTCACTCTCACACTCATTCACTCTCACACTCACTCACTCTCACACTCACTCATTCACTCTTACACTCACTGACTCTCACACGCTCACTCACACATTCTCACACTCAGTCATACACTCACTCATACACACACTCATACACTCACTCACTCATACACTCACTCACTCATACACTCACTCACTCATACACTCACTCATACACTCACTCACTCATACACTCACTCACTCATACACTCACTTACTCACTCATACACTCACTCATACACTCATACACTCACTCACTCACTCATACACTCACTCACTCATACACTCACTCACTCATACACTCACTCATACACTCACTCATACACTCACTCATACACTCAGTCATACACTCACTCACTCATACACTCACTCACTCATACACTCACTCATACACTCACTCATACACTCAGTCATACACTCACTCATACACTCACTCACTCATACACTCACTCACTCATACACTCACACATACACTCACTCATACACTCACTCATACACTGACTCATACACTCACTCACTCATACACTCACTCACTCATACACTCACTCATACACTCACTCATACACTCACTCACTCATACACTCACTCACTCATACACTCACTCATACACTCACTCACTCATACACTCGCTCACTCATACACTCACTCACTCACTCATACACTCACTCATACACTCACTCCCTCATACACTCACTCACTCATACACTCACTCATACACTCACTCATACACTCACTCATACACTCGCTCACTCATACACTCACTCACACACTCATACACTCACTCATACACTCACTCATACACTCACTAATTCATACACTCACTCACTCATACACTCACTCACTCATACACTCACTCACACATACACTCACTCATACACTCACTCACTCACTCATACACTCACTCACTCATACACTCACTCACTCTCACACTCATACACTCACTCACTCTCACACTCATACACTCACTCACTCATACACTCACTCACTCATACACTCACTCATACACTCATACACTCACACACTCACTCATACACTCACCCACTCATACACTCACTCACACACTCTCACACTCGTACACTCACTCACACACTCATACACTCATACACTCATTCACTCACTCATACACTCACTCATACACTCACTCACTCACTCATACACTCACTCATACACTCACTCACTCATACACTCACACACTCACTCACTCATACACTCACTCACTCATACACTCACTCACTCATACACTCACTCACTCATACACTCACACACTCACTCACTCATTCACTCACTCACTCATACACTCACTCACTCATACACTCACTCATTCACTCACTCACACACTCACTCACTCATACTCTCACACTCTCACTCTCACCACCCCCCACCTCCCTCCCCCAGGTGGGCCGTGCTCTGGCCGTGGCGGTGCTGGACCAGGCCGGAGTGAACCCTTGGCCCCGGACGTCGCTGGCGGAGGCCGGGGACCTCGCGGGCCTCCGGGCCTGGGTTCGACACCAACTCCGCACCGGGCGTTTCGGCAGCGGCCACGCAAGGGGGCCGGCGGCGGCGGCGGCGGCGGCGGCAGGGGCAGCCACACGCAGAGGGCCCGGAGGGCCCACCGGCAACCCCACCGCCAAGAGCAGGTGAGGAGCCCCCTGGGCCAAGCCCTGGGTTAGGCCCTGGGTTAGGCCCTGGGTTAGGGTCTGGGTTAGGGTCTGGGTTAGGGTCTGGGTTAGGGTCTGGGTTAGGGTCTGGGTTAGGGTCTGGGTTAGGGTCTGGGTTAGGGTCTGGGTTAGGGTCTGGGTTAGGGTCTGGGTTAGGGTCTGGGTTAGGGTCTGGGTTAGGCCCTGGGTTAGGGTCTGGGTTAGGGTCTGGGTTAGTGTCTGGGTTAGTGTCTGGGTTAGAGTCTGGGTTAGTGTCTGGGTTAGGGTCTGGGTTAGGCCCTGGGTTAGGGTCTGGGTTAGGGTCTGGGTTAGTGTCTGGGTTAGTGTCTGGGTTAGTGTCTGGGTTAGTGTCTGGGTTAGGGTCTGGGTTAGGGTCTGGGTTAGTGTCTGGGTTAGGGTCTGGGTTAGAGTCTGGGTTAGGGTCTGGGTTAGAGTCTGGGTTAGTGTCTGGGTTAGGGTCTGGGTTAGGGTCTGGGTTAGGCCCTGGGTTAGGCCCTGGGTTAGGGTCTGGGTTAGGGTCTGGGTTAGGGTCTGGGTTAGGGTCTGGGTTAGGGTCTGGGTTAGGCCCTGGGTTAGGCCCTGGGTTAGGGTCTGGGTTAGGGTCTGGGTTAGGGTCTGGGTTAGTGTCTGGGTTAGGGTCTGGGTTAGGGTCTGGGTTAGGGTCTGGGTTAGGGTCTGGGTTAGGGTCTGGGTTAGGCCCTGGGTTAGGGTCTGGGTTAGGCCCTGGGTTAGGGTCTGGGTTAGGGTCTGGGTTAGTGTCTGGGTTAGGCCCTGGGTTAGTGTCTGGGTTAGGGTCTGGGTTAGGGTCTGGGTTAGGGTCTGGGTTAGGGTCTGGGTTAGTGTCTGGGTTAGGCCCTGGGTTAGGGTCTGGGTTAGGGTCTGGGTTAGGGTCTGGGTTAGGGTCTGGGTTAGTGTCTGGGTTAGGGTCTGGGTTAGGCCCTGGGTTAGGGTCTGGGTTAGGGTCTGGGTTAGGGTCTGGGTTAGGGTCTGGGTTAGGCCCTGGGTTAGGGTCTGGGTTAGGCCCTGGGTTAGGGTCTGGGTTAGGGTCTGGGTTAGTGTCTGGGTTAGGCCCTGGGTTAGGGTCTGGGTTAGGGTCTGGGTTAGGGTCTGGGTTAGTGTCTGGGTTAGGGTCTGGGTTAGGCCCTGGGTTAGGGTCTGGGTTAGGGTCTGGGTTAGGGTCTGGGTTAGGGTCTGGGTTAGGGTCTGGGTTAGGGTCTGGGTTAGGCCCTGGGTTAGGGTCTGGGTTAGGGTCTGGGTTAGGGTCTGGGTTAGGGTCTGGGTTAGGCCCTGGGTTAGGGTCTGGGTTAGTGTCTGGGTTAGGCCCTGGGTTAGGGTCTGGGTTAGGGTCTGGGTTAGTGTCTGGGTTAGGCCCTGGGTTAGGGTCTGGGTTAGTGTCTGGGTTAGGCCCTGGGTTAGAGTCTGGGTTAGTGTCTGGGTTAGGGTCTGGGTTAGTGTCTGGGTTAGGCCCTGGGTTAGGGTCTGGGTTAGTGTCTGGGTTAGGCCCTGGGTTAGGGTCTGGGTTAGTGTCTGGGTTAGGGTCTGGGTTAGGGTCTGGGTTAGGCCCTGGGTTAGTGTCTGGGTTAGGCCCTGGGTTAGGCCCTGGGTTAGGGTCTGGGTTAGGCCCTGGGTTAGGGTCTGGGTTAGGCCCTGGGTTAGAGTCTGGGTTAGGGTCTGGGTTAGGGTCTGGGTTAGAGTCTGGGTTAGGCCCTGGGTTAGGGTCTGGGTTAGGGTCTGGGTTAGGCCCTGGGTTAGGGTCTGGGTTAGGCCCTGGGTTAGTGTCTGGGTTAGGGTTTGGGTTAGTGTCTGGGTTAGGGTCTGGGTTAGGGTCTGGGTTAGGGTCTGGGTTAGAGTCTGGGTTAGGCCCTGGGTTAGGGTCTGGGTTAGGGTCTGGGTTAGGGTCTGGGTTAGGGTCTGGGTTAGGCCCTGGGTTAGAGTCTGGGTTAGAGTCTGGGTTAGGCCCTGGGTTAGGCCCTGGGTTAGTGTCTGGGTTAGGGTCTGGGTTAGGCCCTGGGTTAGAGTCTGGGTTAGAGTCTGAGTTAGGCCCTGGGTTAGGCCCTGGGTTAGGGTCTGGGTTAGGGTCTGGGTTAGGCCCTGGGTTAGTGTCTGGGTTAGGCCCTGGGTTAGGGTCTGGGTTAGGCCCTGGGTTAGGGTCTGGGTTAGTGTCTGGGTTAGAGTCTGGGTTAGGGTCTGGGTTAGGGTCTGGGTTAGAGTCTGGGTTAGGCCCTGGGTTAGGGTCTGGGTTAGGGTCTGGGTTAGGCCCTGGGTTAGGGTCTGGGTTAGGCCCTGGGTTAGTGTCTGGGTTAGGGTCTGGGTTAGTGTCTGGGTTAGGGTCTGGGTTAGGGTCTGGGTTAGGGTCTGGGTTAGGGTCTGGGTTAGAGTCTGGGTTAGGCCCTGGGTTAGGGTCTGGGTTAGGGTCTGGGTTAGGGTCTGGGTTAGGGTCTGGGTTAGGCCCTGGGTTAGAGTCTGGGTTAGAGTCTGGGTTAGGCCCTGGGTTAGGCCCTGGGTTAGTGTCTGGGTTAGGGTCTGGGTTAGGCCCTGGGTTAGAGTCTGGGTTAGAGTCTGAGTTAGGCCCTGGGTTAGGCCCTGGGTTAGGGTCTGGGTTAGGGTCTGGGTTAGGCCCTGGGTTAGTGTCTGGGTTAGGCCCTGGGTTAGGGTCTGGGTTAGGCCCTGGGTTAGGGTCTGGGTTAGGGTCTGGGTTAGTGTCTGGGTTAGGCCCTGGGTTAGGGTCTGGGTTAGTGTCTGGGTTAGGCCCTGGGTTAGGGTCTGGGTTAGTGTCTGGGTTAGGGTCTGGGTTAGGGTCTGGGTTAGGCCCTGGGTTAGGGTCTGGGTTAGGCCCTGGGTTAGTGTCTGGGTTAGGCCCTGGGTTAGGGTCTGGGTTAGTGTCTGGGTTAGAGTCTGGGTTAGAGTCTGGGTTAGGGTCTGGGTTAGGGTCTGGGTTAGAGTCTGGGTTAGGGTCTGGGTTAGGGTCTGGGTTAGTGTCTGGGTTAGAGTCTGGGTTAGAGTCTGGGTTAGGCCCTGGACTAGGGTCTGGGTTAGGGTCTGGGTTAGAGTCTGGGTTAGTGTCTGGGTTAGGGTCTGGGTTAGGCCCTGGGTTAGTGTCTGGGTTAGGGTCTGGGTTAGGGTCTGGGTTAGGGTCTGGGTTAGGGTCTGGGTTAGTGTCTGGGTTAGGCCCTGGGTTAGGGTCTGGGTTAGGGTCTGGGTTAGGGTCTGGGTTAGTGTCTGGGTTAGGCCCTGGGTTAGGGTCTGGGTTAGAGTCTGGGTTAGAGTCTGGGTTAGGCCCTGGGTTAGGCCCTGGGTTAGGGTTTGGGTTAGGGTCTGGGTTAGGCCCTGGGTTAGTGTCTGGGTTAGGGTCTGGGTTAGGGTCTGGGTTAGTGTCTGGGTTAGGCCCTGGGTTAGGGTCTGGGTTAGAGTCTGGGTTAGAGTCTGGGTTAGGCCCTGGGTTAGGCCCTGGGTTAGGGTTTGGGTTAGGGTCTGGGTTAGGCCCTGGGTTAGAGTCTGGGTTAGGGTCTGGGTTAGGGTCTGGGTTAGGGTCTGGGTTAGTGTCTGGGTTAGGGTCTGGGTTAGGGTCTGGGTTAGTGTCTGGGTTAGGGTCTGGGTTAGAGTCTGGGTTAGGCCCTGGGTTAGGCCCTGGGTTAGAGTCTGGGTTAGGGTCTGGGTTAGAGTCTGGGTTAGGGTCTGGGTTAGGGTCTGGGTTAGTGTCTGGGTTAGGGTCTGGGTTAGTGTCTGGGTTAGGGTCTGGGTTAGGGTCTGGGTTAGGGTCTGGGTTAGGGTCTGGGTTAGGGTCTGGGTTAGGCCCTGGGTTAGAGTCTGGGTTAGTGTCTGGGTTAGAGTCTGGGTTAGAGTCTGGGTTAGGCCCTGGGTTAGGGTCTGGGTTAGGGTCTGGGTTAGGCCCTGGGTTAGAGTCTGGGTTAGGGTCTGGGTTAGTGTCTGGGTTAGGGTCTGGGTTAGTGTCTTGGTTAGTGTCTGGGTTAGTGTCTGGGTTAGGGTCTGGGTTAGGCCCTGGGTTAGGGTCTGGGTTAGTGTCTGGGTTAGGCCCTGGGTTAGAGTCTGGGTTAGAGTCTGGGTTAGTGTCTGGGTTAGTGTCTGGGTTAGGATCTGGGTTAGGTTCTGGGTTAGAGTCTGGGTTAGTGTCTGGGTTAGAGTCTGGGTTAGAGTCTGGGTTACTGTCTGGGTTAGTGTCTGGGTTAGTGTCTGGGTTAGGGTCTGGGTTAGTGTCTGGGTTAGAGTCTGGGTTAGAGTCTGGGTTAGTGTCTTGGTTAGAGTCTGGGTTAGTGTCTGGGTTAGTGTCTGGGTTAGGCCCTGGGTTAGGGTCTGGGTTAGGCCCTGGGTTAGGCCCTGGGTTAGTGTCTGAGTTAGTGTCTGGGTTAGGGTCTGGGTTAGGCCCTGGGTTAGTGTCTGGGTTAGTGTCTGGGTTAGTGTCTGGGTTAGGGTCTGGGTTAGGGTCTGGGTTAGTGTCTGGGTTAGAGTCTGGGTTAGGGTCTGGGTTAGGGTCTGGGTTAGTGTCTGGGTTAGGGACTGGGTTAAGCCCTGGGTTAGGGTCTGGGTTAGTGTCTGGGTTAGGGTCTGGGTTAGGGTCTGGGTTAGGGTCTGGGTTAGTGTCTGGGTTAGTGTCTGGGTTAGGGTCTGGGTTAGGCCCTGGGTTAGTGTCTGGGTTAGGCCCTGGGTTAGTGTCTGGGTTAGTGTCTGGGTTAGTGTCTGGGTTAGGGTCTGAGTTAGGGTCTGGGTTAGGGTCTGGGTTAGGGTCTGGGTTAGTGTCTGGGTTAGGGTCTGGGTTAGGGTCTGGGTTAGGGTCTGGGTTAGGGTCTGGGTTAGTGTCTGGGTTAGTCCCTGGGTTAGGGTCTGGGTTAGTGTCTGGGTTAGGCCCTGGGTTAGTGTCTGGGTTAGTGTCTGGGTTAGGCCCTGGGTTAGTGTCTGGGTTAGGGTCTGGGTTAGGGTCTGGGTTAGGGTCTGGGTTAGGGTCTGGGTTAGGCCCTGGGCTAGGCCCTGGGCTAGGCCCTGGACTAGGCCCTGGCTTTAGGCCCTGGACTAGGCCCTGGACTAGGGCCCTGGCTTTAGGCCCTGGGCTAGGCCCTGGACTAGGCCCTGGACTAGGCCCTGGGCTAGGCCCTGGACTAGGCCCTGGGCTAGGCCCTGGACTAGGCCCTGGACTAGGCCCTGGGCTAGGCCCTGGACTAGGCCCTGGGCTAGGCCCTGGGCTAGGCCCTGGGCTAGGCCCTGGGCTAGGCCCTGGGCTAGGCCCTGGGCTAGGCCCTGGACTAGGCCCTGGACTAGGCCCTGGGCTAGGCCCTGGGCTAGGCCCTGGGCTAGGCCCTGGACTAGGCCCTGGACTAGGCCCTGGGCTAGGCCCTGGGCTAGGCCCTGGACTAGGCCCTGGGCTAGGCCCTGGACTAGGCCCTGGACTAGGCCATGGACTAGGCCCTGGGCTAGGCCCTGGGCTAGGCCCTGGGCTAGGCCCTGGACTAGGCCCTGTGCTAGGCCCTTGGCTAGGCCCTGGGCTAGGCCCTGGACTAGGCCCTGGGCTAGACCCTGGACTAGGCCCTGGACTAGGCCCTGGACTAGGCCCTGGACTAGGCCCTGGCTTTAGGCCCTGGGCTAGGCCCTGGACTAGGCCCTGGACTAGGCCCTGGCTTTAGGCCCTGGGCTAGGCCCTGGACTAGGCCCTGGACTAGGCCCTGGGCTAGGCCCTGGGCTAGGCCCTGGGCTAGGCCCTGGACTAGGCCCTGGGCTAGGCCCTGGGCTAGGCCCTGGGCTAGGCCCTGGACTAGGCCCTGGACTAGGACCTGGGCTAGGTCCTGGACTAGGCCCTGGCTTTAGGCCCTGGGCTAGGCCCTGGACTAGGCCCTGGACTAGGCCCTGTACTAGGCCCTGGACTAGGCCCTGGACTAGGCCCTGGACTAGACCCTGGGCTAGGTCCTGGACTAGGCCCTGGCTTTAGGCCCTGGACTAGGCCCTGGGCTAGGCCCTGGACTAGGCCCTGGACTAGGCCCTGGACTAGGCCCTGGACTAGGCCCTGGGCTAGGCCCTGGGCTAGGCCCTGGACTAGGCCCTGGGCTAGGCCCTGGACTAGGCCCTGGGCTAGGCCCTGGACTAGGCCCTGGACTAGGCCCTGGACTAGGCCCTGGGCTAGGCCCTGGGCTAGGCCCTGGGCTAGGTCCTGGACTAGGCCCTGGCTTTAGGCCCTGGACTAGGCCCTGGACTAGGACCTGGACTAGGCCCTGGGCTAGGTCCTGGACTAGGCCCTGGCTTTAGGCCCTGGACTAGGCCCTGGGCTAGGCCCTGGACTAGGCCCTGGACTAGACCCTGGACTAGGCCCTGGACCAGACCCTGGACTAGGCCCTGGGCCAGGCCCTGGACTAGGCCCTGGGCTAGGCCCTGGGCTAGGCCCTGGACTAGGCCCTGGACTAGGCCCTGGACTAGGCCCTGGGCTAGGCCCTGGACTAGGCCCTGGACAAGGCCCTGGACTAGGCCCTGGACTAAGCCCTGGGCTAGGTCCTGGACTAGGCCCTGGCTTTAGGCCCTGGACTAGGCCCTGGACTAGGCCCTGGACTAGGCCCTGGACTAGGCCCTGGCTTTAGGCCCTGGCTTTAGGCCCTGGACTATGCCCTGGACTAGGCCCTGGACTAGGCCCTGGACTAGGCCCTGGACTAGGCCCTGGGCTAGGCCCTGGACTAGGCCCTGGGCTAGGCCCTGGGCTAGGTCCTGGACTAGGCCCTGGCTTTAGGCCCTGGGCTAGGCCCTGGACTAGGCCCTGGACTAGGCCCTGGACTAGGCCCTGGCTTTAGGCCCTGGACTAGGCCCTGGACTAGGCCCTGGGCTAGGCCCTGGACTAGGCCCTGGACTAGACCCTGGGCTAGGCCCTGGGCTAGGCCCTGGACTAGGCCCTGGACTAGGCCCTGGACTAGGCCCTGGGCTAGGCCCTGGACTAGCCCTGGCTTTAGGCCCTGGACTAGGCCCTGGACTAGGCCCTGGACTAGGCCCTGGGCTAGGCCCTGGACTAGGCCCTGGACTAGGCCCTGGGCTAGGCCCTGGACTAGGCCCTGGACTAGGCCCTGGACTAGGCCCTGGCTTTAGGCCCTGGACTAGGCCCTGGACTAGGCCCTGGACTAGGCCCTGGCTTTAGGCCCTGGACTAGGCCCTGGACTAGGCCCTGGACTAGGCCCTGGGCTAGGCCCTGGGCTAGGCCCTGGACTAGGCCCTGGACTAGGCCCTGGGCTAGGTCCTGGGCTAGGCCCTGGACTAGGCCCTGGGCTAGGCACTGGGCTAGGCCCTGGGCTAGGCCCTGGGCTAGGCCCTGGACTAGGCCCTGGGCTAGGCCCTGGACTAGGCCCTGGACTAGGCCCTGGTCTAGGCCCTGGACTAGGCCCTGGACTAGGCCCTGGACTAGGCCCTGGACTAGGCCCTGGACTAGGCCCCGGCTTTCGGCCGATCACCGATTCCGAAACCCTCCCCCCTCCCCCACCCTTGCCGCAGCCTCACCACGTCCACGTCGGCCGGCCGGCTGTGCCGGAACAACAACAACAACAACAACGGCGGCGGCCTCCACGGCCACAACAACCACAACAACCACAACAACCACAACAACCACAGTAACCACAACAACAACGGCGGTGGCGGCGGCGGCGGCGGATTTGGATTCTCCGGCTCACCGCAGGGGCGTCTCCTCCCCCGTGGCTCGCCGGGGGCGGCGACGGGGAGCCTCAGGGGGAGCCTCAGGGGGAGCCTCAGGGGGGACACCGGGGGGAGCCTCAGGGGGAGTCTCACGGGGGACACCGGGGGGAGCCTCAGGGGGAGTCTCAAGGGGGACACCGGGGGGAGCCTCAGGGGGAGTCTCAAGGGGGACACCGGGGGGAGCCTCAGGGGGAGCCTCAGGGGGAGTCTCAAGGGGGACACCGTGGGGAGCCTCAGGGGGAGTCTCAGGGGGAGTCTCAAGGGGGACACCGTGGGGAGCTTCAGGGGGAGTCCCAGGGGGAGCCTCAGGGGGAGTCTCAAGGGGGACACCGGGGGGAGGCCAGGGGTCGACCCCAGGGGTAACGACAAGGTCTACCCCAGGGCTCCTCCTAGGGGGGATCACGACCCCAGGGCTCCTCCTGGGGGGGATCACGAGCCCAGGGGTAACGACAAGGTCTACCCCAGGGGTACCCCCAGAGGGGATCACGAGCCCAGGGGTAACGACAAGGTCTACCCCAGGGGTACCCCCAGAGGGGATCACGAGCCCAGGGGTAACGACAAGGTCTACCCCAGGGGTACCCCCAGAGGGGACCCCACGACTCCCACGTCAGGGAGTCTGAACACCCCTCCTAGAATCCATCACCTCCACCACCACCACCTTAACCACCTCCACCTTAACCACCACCACCACCACAACCACCTCCGCCACCACCACCACCATCCTCCTCCTCCTCCTCCTCTCAAGACTCCGAGACTCAACCACAACCACCACAACCACCACCAACCACTTCCTCACCACCACCACCACCACCTCCACCTCGGGTTGATTCACCACCACGCCACCACCACAACCACCACCGGGCAACCCTCCACGCCACCTCCGTTGCTGCCCTTCGCGCGCTGCCCCAGGGTAGCTGGGCAGCAGCAGGGGCAGCAGCAGGGACAGCAGCAGGGGCAGCAGGGGCAGGGGCAGCAGCAGGGGCAGCTGCTGGTGCGCGTCAGTCTCGCTCCACTGCTGCACCGATCGGCGTCGCTGGGGAACGCACGGCCGGGGAGATTGACGGCAACCACCACCGGCACAACAACAACAACAACCACCGCCACAACCACCGGCACAACAACAACAACAACCACCGCCACAACCACCACGGCAGCGGTGGTGACAGTGTCACTACCACAACAACAACAACCACCACCACAACAACAACAAGAACCACCACCACAACAACAACAACCACCACAACAACAACAACAACCACCACCACAATCACGGCAGCAGCAGCAGCGTCGGTGGTGATGGGTTGGGTGGATTGGTGAGTGGGTGGGTGGGTGAGTGGGTGGGTGAGTGGGTGAGTGAGTGGGTGGGTGAGTGGGTGAGTGGGTGGGTGGGTGAGTGAGTGGGTGGGTGAGTGAGTGAGTGGGTGAGTGGGTGAGTGAGTGGGTGAGTGAGTGAGTGGGTGAGTGGGTGGGTGAGTGGGTGATTGGGTGAGTGAGTGGGTGGGTGGGTGGGTGAGTGAGTGGGTGAGTGGGTGAGTGAGTGGGTGAGTGAGTGAGTGGGTGGGTGAGTGAGTGGGTGAGTGGGTGAGTGGGTGAGTGAGTGGGTGAGTGGGTGAGTGAGTGAGTGAGTGGGTGGGTGAGTGAGTGAGTGGGTGGGTGAGTGAGTGAGTGAGTGGGTGAGTGGGTGAGTGGGTGGGTGAGTGGGTGAGTGAGTGAGTGGGTGGGTGAGTGAGTGGGTGAGTGGGTGGGTGGGTGGGTGAGTGAGTGAGTGAGTGGGTGAGTGGGTGAGTGGGTGGGTGAGTGAGTGAGTGAGTGGGTGGGTGGGTGAGTGAGTGGGTGAGTGGGTGGGTGGGTGAGTGAGTGGGTGGGTGAGTGAGTGAGTGGGTGAGTGGGTGAGTGGGTGGGTGAGTGAGTGAGTGAGTGGGTGGGTGAGTGAGTGGGTGAGTGGGTGGGTGGGTGAGTGAGTGAGTGGGTGATTGAATGAGTGAGTGAATGGGTGAGTGGGTGGGTGGGTGGGTGAGTGAGTGGGTGAGTAGGTGGGTGGGTGGGTGAGTGGGTGGGTGAGTGGGTGGGTGGGTGAGTGAGTGTGTGAGTGTGTGAGTGTGTGAGTGGGTGAGTTGGTGAGTGAGTGGGTGAGTTGTTAAGTGAGTGGGTGAGTGAGTGAGTGGGTGGGTGAGTGAGTGAGTGGGTGAGGGAGGGGGTGGGTGGGTGGGTGAGTGGGTGGGTGAGTAGGTGAGTGGGTGGGTGAGTGAATGAGTGGGTGAGTGAATGAGTGGGTGAGTGAGTGGGTGGGTGAGTGGGTGAGTGAGTGGGTGGGTGAGTGAGTGGGTGGGTGAGTGGGTCGGTGAGTGGGTGGGTGAAGGGGTGGGTGGGTTAGGGGGTGGGTGGGTGAGTAGGTGAGTGGGTGATTGAATGAGTGATTGAATGAGTGAGTGAATGGGTGAGTGAGTGGGTGAGTGGGTGGGTGAGTGGGTGAGTGGGTGGGTGAGTGGGTGAGTGGGTGGATGAGTGAGTGGGTGAGTGAGTGAGTGGGTGAGGGGTGAGTGGGTGAGGGGTGAGTGAGTGAGTGGGTGGGTGAGTGAGTGGGTGAGTGGGTGGGTGAGTGGGTGGGTGGGTGAGTGAGTGGGTGGGTGAGGGAGGGGGTGGGTGGGTGAGTGGGTGGGTGAGTAGGTGAGTGGGTGGATGAGTGGGTGGGTGAGGGGGTGGGTGGGTTAGTGGGTGGCTGAGGGGGTGGGTGAGGGGGTGGGTGAGTGGGTGGGTGAGTGGGTGGGTGGGTGGGTGAGTGAGCGAGTGGGTGGGTGGGTGGGTGAGTGGGTGAGGGGTGAGTGAGTGAGTGAGTGGGTGAGTGGGTGGGTGAGTGGGTGGGTGGGTGAGGGGGTGGGTGGGTGGGTGAGTGGGTGGGTGGGTGAGTGGGTGGGTGGGTGAGTGGGTGGGTGGGTGAGTGGGTGGGTGGGTGGGTGAGTGGGTGGGTGGGTGAGTGGGTGGGTGGGTGAGTGGGTGAGTGGGTGGGTGGGTGAGTGGGTGGGTGGGTGGGTGGGTGAGTGGGTGGGTGGGTGGATGGGTGAATGGGTGGGTGAGGGGGTGGGTGAGTTGGTGGGTGGGTGAGGAGGTGGGTGAGTGGGTGGGTTAGTGGGTGGCTGAGGGGGTGGGTGAGTGGGTGGGTGAGTGGGTGGGTGGGTGAGTGAGCGAGTGGGTGGGTGAGTGGGTGGGTGGGTGAGTGGGTGAGGGGTGAGTGAGTGAGTGAGTGGGTGAGTGGGTGGGTGAGTGGGTGGGTGGGTGGGTGAGTGGGTGGGTGGGTGGGTGAGTGGGTGGGTGGGTGGGTGAGTGGGTGGGTGGGTGAGTGGGTGGGTGGGTGGGTGAGTGGGTGGGTGGGTGAGTGGGTGGGTGGGTGGGTGAGTGGGTGGGTGGGTGGGTGAGTGGGTGGGTGGGTGAGTGGGTGGGTAGGTGGGTGAGTGGGTGGGTGGGTGGGTGAGTGGGTGGGTGGGTGAGTGGGTGGGTGGGTGGGTGAGTGGGTGGGTGGGTGGGTGAGTGGGTGGGTGGGTGAGTGGGTGGGTGGGTGAGTGGGTGGGTGGGTGAGTGGGTGGGTGGGTGGGTGAGTGGGTGGGTGGGTGGGTGAGTGGGTGGGTGGGTGAGTGGGTGGGTGGGTGGGTGAGTGGGTGGGTGGGTGGGTGAGTGGGTGGGTGGGTGGGTGAGTGGGTGGGTGGGTGGGTGAGTGGGTGGGTGGGTGAGTGGGTGGGTGGGTGGGTGAGTGGGTGGGTGGGTGAGTGGGTGGGTGGGTGGGTGGGTGAGTGGGTGGGTGGGTGGGTGAGTGGGTGGGTGGGTGAGTGGGTGGGTGGGTGGGTGAGTGGGTGGGTGGGTGGGTGAGTTGGTGGGTGGGTGGGTGAGTGGGTGGGTGGGTGAGTGGGTGGGTGGGTGGGTGAGTGGGTGGGTGGGTGGGTGAGTGGGTGGGTGGGTGGGTGAGTGGGTGGGTGGGTGAGTGGGTGGGTGGGTGGGTGAGTGGGTGGGTGCGTGGGTGAGTGGGTGGGTGGGTGGGTGGGTGAGTGGGTGGGTGGGTGGGTGAGTGGGTGGGTGGGTAAGTGGGTGGGTGAGTGGGTGGGTGGGTAAGTGGGTGGGTGAGTGGGTGGGTGAGTGGGTGGGTGAGTGGGTGGGTGAGTGGGTGATTGGGTGAGTGAGTGGGTGGGTGGGTGAGTGGGTGGGTGGGTGAGTGGGTGGGTGGGTGAGTGGGTAAGTGGGTGGGTGAGTGGGTGGGTGAGTGGGTGGGTGAGTGGGTGGGTGAGTGGGTGATTGGGTGAGTGAGTGGGTGAGTGAGTGGGTGATTGGGTGAGTGAGTGGGTGAGTGAGTGGGTGATTGGGTGAGTGAGTGGGTGAGTGGGTGGGTGGGTGAGTGATTTGGTGAGTGAGTGGGTGAGGGGTGAGTGGGTGGGTGAGTGGGTAGGTGAGTTGGTGAATGAGTGAGTTGGTGGGTGAGTGAGTGAGAGGAGCGGTGGGTGTTGTGGTTAGCGCTACGAATCCGCCAGAGAAAGCCACCCCCCACCACTTGCCCCCCCCCCCGCCCTTAAACGGCCTCTTAAAGCACTCAAGGCTGAGACTCTACACACACAGCAGACGTTCCAGGCAACGGGCCTTCTCCAGAGCGTTGTGCGTAACCAGGCGGAGAGTTTTGTGGATAAATACCGAAGGAGGGAGGGAGGGGGTGGGACGTTTTTTTTTAAATAATTTTTACTTTGTATGAACTTTAATCAGCGTTGTGTGAATAAATTAGTCGCTTAGAACCCTCACGATAGCCCAGTGGCCTCGTTACTCACTCACTCACCCACTCACTCACCCACTCACCCACTCACTCACTCACCCACTCACCCACTCACTCACCCACTCACTCATTAACCCACTCACTCACCCACCCACTCACCCACTCACTCACACACTCACCCACTCACTCACCCACTCACTCATTAACCCACTCACCCACTCACTCACCCACTCACCCACTCACTCACTCACCCACTCACTCACCCACTCACTCACTCACCCACTCACTCACTCACCCACTCACTCACTCACCCACTCACTCACCCACTCACTCACTCACTCACCCACTCACCTACCTACTCACCTACTCACCCAGTCACTCACTCACCCACTCACTCACTCACTCGCTCACCCACTCACTCACCCACTCACCCACTCACTCACTCACTCACCCACTCACTCACTCACCCACTCACCCACTCACCCACGTACTCACCTACTCACTCACCCAGTCACTCACTCACCCACTCACCCACTCACTCACCCACTCACTCACCCACTCACTCACCCACTCACTCACTCACTCACCCACTCACCCACGTACTCACCTACTCACTCACCCAGTCACTCACTCACCCACTCACCCACTCACTCACCCACTCACTCACCCACTCACCCACTCACTCACCCACTCACTCACTCACCCACTCTCTCACCCACTCACCCACTCACCCACCCACTTACCCACCTACTCACCTACTCACTCACCCACTCACTCACCCACTCACTCACCCACCCAGTCACTCACCCACCCACTCACTCACCCAGTCACCCACCCGCTCACCCACCCGCTCACCCACTCACTGTGTATGTGTGTGTATATGTGTATATATGTGTGTATATATGTGTGTATATATATATGTGTATATGTGTGTATGTGTATATATGTGTGTATATGTGTGTATGTGTATATATATTAAGGGGACCGGTAGTGTAGCGGTTAGCGCTACGCTGCGCTATGAACCTGGCGACCCGGGTTCGATTCCCGCTCACGGCCAACACCAGTGACGATTATCTGAACCGGTCCCGGGCCTCCCCTAGGTCGACTCAGCCTCAAATGAGTACCTGGTGCGGTGTGTAAACATTGCCACTAGGGAGACAAAGGCGG